GCATTCCTGGGCAGGGCGGGAAGTACAAGTTCAAACCCCAACCATTGTGAAGGTAAGGCCATAGAATTCTTTGGACACACTTTTTATTTTTCCACCCGAGCCCAGACCAAGAGAGACATGCTTCCTCATACTTTTCCTGTGCTGGTGACAGATTTATCTAGTTATATTTTAGATAGTATTTCTGAGTACTCTGTACCAGGAGAATGTTTAAGTTAGCTAGATCAACATACCGTTAGAGATAGAAATCGCATGCATTACTTTTGTGAAAGAAAATAAACTTGAGTTTTAACAATCAACACCCAAGGTTACCTGGGCAGCCTGAGAAGACGGTGAATGGTGGGACCACAGTTTCTGGGGGTAATACTGTGTTGTCGAGAATTTTGCAACAGTCTTTCAACACACACCGGCGCCCCTGAAATTAAAATCTTGTTAATAGGGAATAGACCAGGAAATGGGAGTAAAAGTTGTCTTGTCTGCTGTGTGGAATATATTTATATTTTCTCCATTCATGATATCATACAATAGTCATGGACAGTGACAAGAGGCTTGGCTACTATTCCCTACTGCAGGTGGTACATGACAAGCAGGAGGTAAAAATGTGAGTGTGTACAAATTTGAGGTGGGGGTCATACACAAGGGACAGTTCAAGTTACCTTAGGCATTTCATACTACATGAAATTCAATCTTCAAGAACTGTTTACTTTTCTTTCTTCCTTTTTTTAAATAATTTAGTGGACATCTGTTGTTTTGCTTGTCCAACATCCACTTCCCTTTCTTCTGGTAACAGAAGCTATATTTTCCTTGGATACCGCCCCATCCCCATCTCAGTCCATGTGCTTCACCTCCCATCCCAAACTATGAACCCCAAGCCTGGCCACAGCCACTGGTTTAGGCAATCGGCGTATGAGCCGATGATGAATCTCAACGTCAGGGCTTCTGCTGGGACTACTGGGAAAAGAAGCTCTTTCTAATGGGGATTTTAGAGGACAGGACAGAATCCTGGACCAGCCACTGGTTTCCAGGAGGAAAGGACCTGCCTGAGAGCCTCCCAGAGGAAAACAAAAAAGGGAAGGGGATTAATTCTCATGACATCAACTAAACCCCCAGAGTCACTTATGTATGAAATTAGGATCTACTTCTGTACCCTTGGTTCATATTAGCCAGTACATTCGTTTTGAACCTACCAATTTAAGGTCTGTTTGTTCTTTTGCCAATTCCAACTGGAAAAGTCTTGGCAAATTCTTCTGGATATGAAGTTATTAGCTCATTTGTTCTCCCATGGGTAAGTGGTAGTTATTAGAAGGTTTAGGCTGGACATAATGCTTGACTTTATCCACTGTCATCACTTTTCAATTGTGCCATCACCCACGGCATTTTGGGGGAAAGAAATAAGGTCTGGGAGCTTCATCTCTTTCATGGCTTAAGGGAAAGGAGAGGCTTCTGTACACGGTTAAAGTTATGTCTCAGACAACTTGCTGAGTAAATGAAAGATTGCATTTACATCATCCGGGTCTATAAGTTTACTTGTGTTCTGGTCAGATGATCTGATAAAACATCCCCAGGTGGCTGAGGATGCGGAACACCTAACAAATACCAGGATAATGCTAACCTATCTAGATCTTAGATTTTACCAAAGAATATGAAAGATACTTTGATTTGGTTGTGTTCAAATTTCCCCCCAGTATTAAATACCTAACTCTTATGTATGTCCAGGAACTCCTGCGTAGATTGCCAAATGAATTTTTTAAAAAGCTTATACCTCTAAGGTCTGAATTTCTTTAGTGGCTAACTAAGTTGTCTCCAGTTGGGTGGATAACAGCCAAGTTGGGCAACATCTTTAGGTCAGAAGCAAGTTATGACTGCAGCTCATTTCTCCTTGGAAAGTTTTCTTCCATGAATTACCTATTATTGGCAACATCAAAAATCGGGCAGATGGCCAGCTCCCCTGGTGACTCCCAAATTAACTCAAAGATGTCCTATGGCGCCTAAGCTCCTAATAACTCAGACTAAGCACATGGGGCACTGAGTAAAAGGAGGCAATGTGCTGCGTATGGCAGGACACATTCACAGACAGGGACCTGCAGACACAGGACCCTGGAAGAGAGGGACAGTGGAAATGAACCTTCTCACCGTATACTACCAGCCACCACACAGCCTGAGGGCACCTGCTTTCTAGAGTTGGCCATTCTTCCCACTCAGAGAAATGTACTCAATTGGGTTTAGAGAATTCTGGGTAAACTGATCAATTACATGGCAGCAGAATAAAAAATGCAGGTACTTCTTAGGCATGAATGGCTTGGCAATAGCTGAGGAGATAAAAAGCTGAAACTACTTGTTTATTCTTTCCTGGAGAACTTTCCAAGAAGGAGTTAAGAACTACATGTTGCTAGTATTATAGCTACCCATATCTCCTTATGCAAGGTATTTAGCAAGTTACTTAAATCCTGTGAAATAGGATATAAAACCAAGCCCGTAGGGATGCTGTCAAGACTAGAGACAAAAGTAAAACTCATGGCATGGTAACAGTGCCTATTAATATTGCCTGTTAAGCTTTTCCTGCAGACATTTGGGCAATTCTGATTAACACCCACACCTTCACATATCCAAGCATAAGTTAGACTACCACATGAGATGCTACAGGAAGGATCCGTGTGTCATGTGGACAGTTGGACTCTAAATGAGTTCCTGCTAGCTCTGAGATTCTCAAAGGATCATTCTCCTGAGATAACTTGGGAATTTTTAAAGCAAATAAGTACTGTCAATACGGAACAATGACAATACCATGAACTGATGTATTGAAAAATGATACAAAAAGCAGAGCACTTAACAATAGGACTAGAATTCCCTAAGCTGTGGGAATAGCATTTGGATTTTAACCATTCCGACATTTGGCTCTGGGGCTAAAGGACTAGGCTACTATGGTGATGTCTTCACATTGCTGAGGAAAATATCAGAAAAACCCAGCTGTGGCTTGGAAAGCCAGCTTTGGTCAAACACTCAGAGTGAGGGGAGAGGATGGATTTCTTCTCCCTTTTCTCAACGTCAGCCCGAACCACAGACATTCTGTCTCTAATACATACTAAGGAACTCCCCTGGAGAAGAATATTTGGCAAAACAACTAATCCCCTTAATTCTGAGCAACAATTCAGACTGGAATGTTTTTCTCAGCAGTGGGGTTCTCCATTGCACTGTCCACCTTTGCTGTGCCCTCATGGCTCCTGGAATGTGACTGCATGGCTTCTGCAGGTTTTCTGATGCTTCAGGGTCCTAGTCTTATCCAGAGCAGAGAACTGACTCTAAATTAAGGGGAGTGGCCATTTAAATGTATGAAAGGGGTCTTGGCTTTTCCCAGAATCTGAGGGACAAACATAAAATGTAGGAAACATTTTCCCTGAAAATTTAGGCAGTTTGGCTCTGATCATTAACATTCTTACTCAGGATGGTCTCAGAAATCCTAACTGAAATCAACCTCTTCATCTATGGAATACCAAGAAATTCAGCCTTGGAAAGCCTTGGTTGGGTTAAACAAATTGATATCGAGGCACCTGTGGACCAGGGTCCTACAGGTTCTGCTGAGGGAGGGGCCCCCTCGCACCTGGCAAACCCAGCACCCTGAACTACATGCAGCTCCCTTAAAGTCATGCCCGTTGGTGACTCTGACCCTTACACATGCCAATCTCTTCCCTGAAACACTCATTCTCCTCTGGTCTAGGAGCCAATTTTGATGCACCCTTCAAGATCCCCTCACCCCCACCAGACTGTAAGATTCTTGAGGTGAAGCAACAGGTAGGCCACATAGTGGCATGGCTATTCATACCACTAGGGCTCAAATCCCAGCACTACCATTTACTAGCCTCGTCAAATCCCCTAATATCAAAGGTCTTCAGTCTCCTCACCTGAAAACAGGGATAATAACAGTACCTAGTACCCTTGGATGGTTGTGAGGATTAAATGAAATAATCAAAGGTAAGAGTTTAACGTCATATGGAAGAGGTTCCATAAAGGTTAGCCATGATTATTAATGCCTAGGAAAAACTCCAAATTCAGTAATAATTCTGATAGACCAGTAGACCGGAAAGGACTTCTACCTTGCTTGATGACAGAAGCAGAAGCCCACTGATGTGAGGGACATGAGCTACAGAGAGAGTGAGGCTGCTCAGCCGGCCAAGTCACCATACTCACAATCACACAGTTCTTGCCAACGTGAACATAAGAGCCAATCTGAGCTGCGTTGACCACACAATCTTCCTCAATAAAGACATGGTCCCCAATATGTAGAGGAAAAAATGCAACGCTATAGAAGAAAAAGAAGATGAACAAAGAAAGGTCAAGGTGATGTACTTTTGGTCAAGGTTTATAGAACTAAAGATCGTAATCTCAACTCCATCGTCTTTTCTTAGTAAGACTGTTCCTAGCAAGGAAAGAATCCTCGGGCTTAACGAATTCTATAATGTTGAAGAAGATGCATGTGACTACTAAATCGAAATCAGAAATATCAGACCAAGGAAATTTGAAAGGAAATAGCAAAACAGTAAGAGCAAAACCTTCAAAGCTAAAAAATCTGGCACCAAATAAAAACAAATGAATGTTTTGCTCATTCCTGCCTCCTTTGAAAATGCCCACAGATCACATTTTCATTAATCTGCTCTATAATCCTTCAGGGGACTGATGTGAGGTTCATGGGATATAATTCCCAACATGCTAAAAATTTATATATTGACTGGTTTTATTGAGAGTCTACTATATGCCAGACTCTATGCTAGGAACTGGGGAATACAATGGTGAGCAAAAGGGATGCAATCATGCCCATGGAGCTTACAAACAAGAGAAGAAAAGAGAGATTAAATAAATGATTAAATAAGTAATTAGTTACAACTGTGATAAGTGCTACAGAGGAAAAATAACACATTATGAGAGCATATAACAAAGAGACTTTACTCAGACTGGAGGTTAAGTAATTGAAAGTGACATTTAAGCCAGGACTTAAGGAGTCAATCAGCTTTCTCCAGACTTGTGACATCATTCCCATTCTCCAGGACTCCTCAAATGTCATTGACAGTGGTCTGTGATCATGTTTACAAGAAATTTCGGTACCTTGGGATGTAAAATATTTGGACTAGAACTAATATAAAGCAGCTGGATGCTCACGGGCTCTTTCCAGTCCTGTGTTCTATTTTGTCAGGAATATTTTGTCAGAGATGATACCTGTCCTCCACAGACCTATACTTTATTTAAATCTTCCTTAATTCATTTGCGTTTTTGGTCAGGACCCCTTGTGTGGCAATGGATTCCTTGATCTTATCATAGTCTACAACAGTACTATCAACTCCTTAATTTTAAATTAAAAACTCCAAACTTTATACTATTATCTGGTCCTGGTATTGAGATATACAGGGGAGGAAATCGACATTCACCTTCTATTCATGTGTTGCTATTTACACTTTCATATTTCTATATTTCTCATGTGGACTATTCTAATTTACACTTCCCTCCATTCACCAATAAGCTTCTTATTCATTCTCAGTTCTCTTCCTGGACCATATCCAGCCCAATAATGCCTTTATCAGGAGGTGGAGTCAACAACTCTAACAGAGCATCAGTCACTGTATGAAACCATGAAAGGGCATCACAGGGTTTTCTGATTTCCACTCAATAGTCCTTTTTTTTAATTTTAAAAAATACTTATTAATTTTTTGGCTGTGCCAGGTCTTAGTTGAGGCACATGGGATCTTTAGTTGCGGCATGTGGACTTCTTAGTTGCAGCATGCATGCAGGATCTAGTTCCCTGACCAGGGATCGAACCCGGGCCCCCTGCATTGGGAGCACAGAATCTTAACCCACTGGACCACCAGGGAAGTCCCCTCCCCTCAACAGTCTTCTGAGGGACTTCCCTAGTGGTCCAGTGGTTAAGACTCTGAGCTTCCACTGAAGGGGGCCCGGGTTCAATCCCTGGTCAGGGAATTAAGATCCCACATGCCGCACAGCACGGCCAAAAAAAAAAAAAGCCTTCTGAGCTAATGAGCAAATGCTTTCATCTAAATTTCATATGATTTACAATGACTCCCTGCTCCAATTCCTGTACATAATGAAAGCCTGGAGCCCAGCATCACTATGGGAAATGCAGGACGATTCCTGCATGATATACACCCAGGTATGGTAGTCTGAGTTAGCTGCCCTCTTCTCTGCTCCTCCCTAACCATGTTCATGCCCCAGTGACAGGAGTATCCCATTCTATAGTGGCTATCATGTTACAGCATCACATTCTATAGTAGCTTTCTGTTTATGTAATTCTTTCTATCACTAGGTTGTTGTTGTTGTTTAATTTTTATTTTATTTATTTTTTTGCGGTACACAGGCCTCTCACTGTTGTGGCCTCTCCCGTTGCGGAGCACAGGCTCCAGACACGCAGGCTCAGCGGCCATGACTCACGGGCCCAGCTGCTCCGCGGCATGTGGGATCTTCCTGGACCGGGGCACGAACCCGTGTCCCCTGCATCAGCAGGCGTACTCTCAACCACTGTGCCACCAGGGAAGCCCTGTTGTTGTTTTTTTAATTGAGGTATAGTTGATTTCCAATATATAAGTTTCAGGTGTACAACATAGTGATTCACAATTTTTAAAGGTTATACTCCACTTATAGTTATTATAAAATATTAGCTATTATTCCCTGTGCTGTAAAACATATCCTTGTAGCTTATTTATTTTATATGTAGTAGTTTGTACCTCTTAATCCCCTACCCCTGTCTTGCCCCTCCTCCTTCCCACTGGTAACCACTAGTTCGGTATATCTGTGAGTCTCTTTTTTGTTACATTCACTAGTTTGTTTTACTTCTAACACTAGGTTATGAGACCCTATTTGATCCATCTTTATATGCCCAGCTTATAACCTAGTGAGTGGCAAAAGGAAAGCACTCAACCAATGCTTGTTGAATTCTTGGATGAAAAGCAGATGGTGCCATAGGCAGGAACCAGGAGGGCAAAGGGAGAGAGAGGCAAAGAGAATACCATCATATCAAGCATAGCGGTCGGTTTTCCTGCCCTGTCCATGCCCTTTCTTAGACAATCCTTATGCCCACTGAGAGATCAGGGGGCCTGACTTGACCCTGCTCTCTGGGTCAAAGCTGTTTTTAGACTGGGGGTGGGCACTTAACTCAAACTGAGCTAATTAGATTCTCTCTCCCAACATTTTGTTAATAGGACCTAAAATCTCTGGTTGGTATCCATTGGAAGCCTAAATGGAGAAGTGATGTAAAAAAACGGGCTGAGGCAGCAAGGTTGGCTCCATGAGAAAAGCCGGAAGATATAGCTGAAAGAGAAAAGAGGGAAGCAGAAGTGCAGAGAGAAGAACAGTTAAGAAACAGTATAACCTTGCTAACAGAGCGGCAGCAAGACAGAATAGTGGCCTTGACTCTGGCTAGCTGTCCAGTTCCAGGTTCCAGTCCCTTGTGAAGCCTGACCCCTTTTTCTACCCTTAAATTCCATCAAATATGCCTGTGGCTGTTTAATCAGAACTCCCTTTGCTTTTGCCAGCTTAAGTGGATTGTTTCTGGCAACTAACCACCAACTAGACTAAGACACCAACACCAGAGTTGTGTTCATTATGGTGAATTCTTACTTAGTGTCCCAAACAATAGCGTAGACCTGCTCCTTCCCCCACAACCCAATGCATGGATAGTACCACCAGTAGCAGCATCTTGCCCCAAGACTGAATCAGGTCATTAAATTACATACCCTTTGCTGAATTTCTTGAATGGTGGCCTTATGACACTCCGACTTTTCACAACACAATGACGTCCAACTCTTACATTTGCCAGATCCCCTCGAATAATACAGTCATTCATCACAATGGTCTATAAAACAAAGCATATTTTAAAAAGCTACTAAGATAGCCTGAAACATAATGAAAAAGAGTAGGAAACCAGACAATTTGAGCGTTATGCTATATTCTACTGAATCACCTGTTCTGTCAAAAGGGATAACTTTTAAGGTAAAGAGAATTGCCCTCATAATACTGACTGCAGTTCAAGATGTTCCCAGTACATCACAAGCTTTGCCCTTATTATTCCATGACTAGGACTCAATGGATGGACAAACATTTATTGAGAATACCTGTGGCAGACCTGGTCTGTGCATCTCCTCAGATGCACTCGGTTCCACCTGCCCCCAAGCCTTGGCTGCTTGCTCAGTGAGAGTCCTGGCTGCTCCCACCTTTGTCTAATCTCCTAACAGTACTACCTCCAACTTCATATTCCAGAGGTGGACCCACTGAGGTTCTGCTTCCTCTCCCAATTTCTGGACCCAGATTATGTGCTACACTGCAAGGTGTGATATCTGGCTTCCCCAGAGGTTGCCAGGAGGGGCTGAATAACACAACCCAGAAACTGGGGGGAACTAATGCCCCATACTTGGTAAACAGTAGGCATTCTTAAAATGTCTGCTGAATAAATGAGGTTTAAAAAAAAAAGTGCACGTGGCTGGGGTTGCGGCTGGGAAAGTAAGCAAGGGACCAGATCATGAAGAATTACCTGTGCTGAGTACAGAAGTTCAGATGTTTTTCCCTAGCGGGTATAAGGAATCAATGAAAGATTCTAAGCAGAGGATTAACACAAGCGAAGCTTCATTTTAGAAATATTACTCTGGAAGCAGTCTGGAGCCTGAATGGAGGCAGGCAAGACTGGAGGGGAAGTGACCCTTCAGATGGATCAAGGGAAAACGAGATGGTGGGCCTTACCTAAGGCAAAAGCTGTGCATCAGGAAAAGAGAAATAAATCAGAGGTAGAGGAATCTGAGCAATCCTTTAGATCGAGCTACCAATTTAGAGGAAGGAGAGGGGGACAGAGATCACGTTAAGCAACACTGTGTAAACAGAATCAGCCAAATTCAGAAATTTGAAAATACTGCAGGACAGTGAGCCAGTTTCCTCAACATATAAATGGCATGCTGAGAAAAGCGAGGCAGGGAATGAGAACTGTTACAGATTCAAAGAGACTTAAGAGACACATCAACCAAACAGTAATGTGTACCTGACCTTGTTTGGATCCTGATTTGAACAAGCCAACTGTAAAAAGACATCTTAAGATAATGGAGGGACTTCCCTTGTGACGCAGTGGTTAAGAATCCGACTGCCAATGCAGAGGACATGGTTCAATCCCTGGTCCGGGAACATTCCACATGCCGCGAAGCAACTAAGCCCATGCATCATAACTACTGAGCCTGCGCTCTAGAGCCTGTGTGCCACAACGACTGAAGCCCGCAAGCCCTAGAGCCTGCGCGCTGCAACTACTGAAGCCCGCACGCTCTAGGGCTCGTGTGCTGCAACTGCTGAGCCTGCGTGCTGCAACCACTGAAGCCCACACGCCTAGAGACTGTGCTCTGCAACAAGAGAAGCCACCGCAAAGAGAAGCCCACGCCCCGCAATGAAGAGTAGCCCCCACTTACCGCAACTAGAGAAATCCCGGGCACAGCAACGAAGACCCAACACAGCCAAAAAGAAAAAGATAATGGAAAGACTGAACATGGACTGAGGATTAGATTAGATGATATTAGGGAATGACTGGCTTTTTAAAAAATATATTATAATAACGGTCCTCTATACATTTTTTAAAGCCTTTAAATATTAGTGATATACATTGAAATATTTATGGGTGAAATAATATTATGCTTGCAATTTGTTTTAAAATATTCCACTCCAAAATTGGTTTGAGCTTGGCAGGTGAGTATAGAGATGAAGCAAGAATGCCAGAATATTGCTAATTGTAGAAGCTGGTGAATGAGTATATAGGGACTCATTATATGTTCTCTCTATTCTTTTTTTTTTTTTTTTTTTTTTTTTGCGGTACGCGGGCCTCTCACTGTTGTGGCCTCTCCCGTTGCGGAGCACAGGCTCCAGACGCACAGGCTCAGTGGCCATGGCTCACGGGCGCAGCCGCTCCACGGCATGTGGGATCATCCCGGACCGGGACACGAACCCGCGTCCCCTGCATCGGCAGGCGGACTCTCAACCACTGTGCCACCAGGGAAGCCCTGTTCTCTCTACTCTTAAATGTGTCCTAAAAGTTCCATAACAATACTGTTCATCTATAAAAAGTAATGAACTACTAATCCATGAATATATCCAACAACATGGATAAATCTCAAAAACATTATGCTGAGGGAAAGAAGCTGACCCCCCCCCCAAAAAAGTACATGATTCCAATTACAGGAAACTTGAGAAAATGCAAAACTAACCTCTATTAGTTTTACATAGGTTACCTGGGCAAAGCTAGAAGAAGGCTTGACTGCAGAGGGACACAAGGAAACTAGGGTGATGGAAATATTTTATATCTTGACTGTGGTACTAGTTGCATAGATGTCCCCATCAGCCAAACCTTTTCAAACTATTTAAAATGGGTACACTTGGGCTTCCCTGGTGGCACAGTGGTTGAGAGTCTGCCTGCCGATGCAGAGGACGTGGGTTCGTGCCCCGGTCCGAGAAGATCCCACGTGCCACGGAGCGGCTGGGCCCGTGAGCCACGGCCACTGAGCCTGTGCGTCCGGAGCCTGTGCTCCGCAACGGGAGAGGCCACAACAGTGAGGGGCCCGCGTACCTCAAAAAATAAATAAATAAAATAAAATGGGTACACTTTATTGTATGTAATACACCTAAATAAAAATGAGTTTTAAAAAATAAATTTATTTATTTTATTTTTGGCTGCGTTGGGTCTTTGTTGCTGTATGTGGGCTTTTCTCTAGATGCGGTGAGCGGGGGCTACTCTTCATTGCAGTGTGCGGGCTTCTCATTGCGGGGGCTTCTCCTGTTGCGGAGCATGGGCTCGGCTCTAGGTGCGTGGGCTTCAGTAGTTGTGGCTCGTGGGCTCTAGAAGTGCAGGCTCAGTAGTTGTGGCGCACAGGCTTAGTTGCTCCACGGCCTGTGGGATCTTCCCAGACCAGGGCTTGAACCCATGTCCCCTGCACTGGCAGGCGGATTCTTAACCACTGCGCCACCAGGGAAGTCCTAAAAATGATTTTTTTTAATGTTCCATTATAAAATATTTAAAAAGAAAAAAAAAAGAAGAGGTTTTATATGACTCAGTCATTATTTAGATGTTGGGTAAGAGAAAAAGAATCTAGGACAGGGTGAGCAATTCTGGGGATTAGATGATAAATTCAATTTTGAAATTCTGAGTTTGTGGAATCTGTGGGATGACCAACAGGCAGTTGTAAATAAAGGTCTGGGGCCCAAGACAGAAGGTCAGGCTAGAGAAGTAGATGGGAACACCTCAAATATAGGTGAATTTAGATAAATCACTAGCCAGAACATGAGGTTTTGAGAAGATACTAAAAAAGAAATCGGCTCACACCTGGAAGAGTCTACCAATCTGACCCACATATGTTCAGTCTATAAAACCTCTATTGGTAAAAAGAAATTTTCCCATCTGCTGCTGATTGTAAAGTATTACAGGTCCTCTTGGTTTTGTTTTGTTTTGTTTGGCTGTGCCATGCAGCTTGCGGGATCTTAGCTCCCTGACCAGGAATCAAACCCAGGCCCCGGCAGTGAAAGTGCCGAGTCCTAACTACTGGACTGCCAGGGAATTCCTCTCTTGGTTTCTAAAAGCTATCTTCTTCAAGCTTAGAGAGATGTCTATTTCTAGTACATAATTCTTTCATCTGAGATCCTTAATTTACTTCAATCATTGTTTTTCAGCTTGTGTTTCCATCTAAATCAGAGAAAATGACTTATTTTTCTTTTGGAAGAAAACAGAATACCAAGAGTTCTGAGTATTTGGTAATGGCTGTTATTGTTTTATTGTGTTTTAAGTAAAGATAACAATCTTAATCTAGAAATAAAGAAAATCCATATAAGTCCCTCAGTCAGCCTAAATTACATTCCCACTGAGGAAGCAAACACAAAAAACATAAGAAAGAAACAATATCATAGATGGTCAAAGAAATTTAGCAAGTGGTATTCAAACCCTGGTTTCCTATCTCATAAAGAATGGAGCTAAAGAAGAGAAGTCAGATTAAAAATAGAGGCAACATGGGCTTCCCTGGTGGCGCAGTGGTTGAGAGTCCGCCTGCCGATGCAGGGGACACTGGTTCGTGCCCCGGTCCCACATGCCGCAGAGTGGCTGGACACCGGTTCGTGCCCCGGTCCCACATGCCGCAGAGTGGCTGGGCCCGTGAGCCATGGCCGCTGAGCCTGCGCGTCCAGAGCCTGTGCTCCGCAACGGGAGAGGCCACAACAGTGAGAGGCCCACATACCGCATAAAAAAAAAACAGAGGCAACAGGGAGTTAAAATGAAAGGAGGTGCCTAAAAATACTTTTCAGGGAGAAAAACAGTATTAAAGCAGACTTCACCGAACTCAACAAGGACAAGGCAGAGGTGGCAAGTTGGGGGCCTGAGGGCTGTACCTAGAAATGGTTTTCTCTGGCCTCTGCAGCCATTTTTATCATTTAAATTAGATGCTATTATGTGAACAGTAGGACATTTTACATTTTTAAAAAATCCAGATTTCCAGTTTCTTTTGAGAAAATCAGAAGCTCTGCAAGTACAGGTCTGTACTCCCACAATCAGCCCGAGCTTAGCTAGGTCCTGTATTCTCCAATTCACTAGGCCCCACCCCATTCTGGTTTACACCCAGTCCTCTTTGCTCATCTGATCCCTGTCTCCTCCTGCAGGCACTGTGACACCCGATGCAAAACAGAAATGTCAAAGTTCTAAAAGGGGCAGGGGCTGGAAACAAAAATGGATTGTTCATAATAACAAAAAGTTGGAAACAAAATAACTATCCACCCCCGTAAGAGAGGGGATAAACCGAATTGTACACAGTAGTGAAAATGCATAAACCACAATGAATCTTAGAAACTAAGCTGAGAACGATGTTACTTACTAAATGTAATATATGTTTTCTATTGTCATTATTACAATAACTGAGGGTAAAAATAGTAAGTCACAGAAAACCAAGTAAAGCTAAACAATATATATCATTTAGAAATACACACATATGTGGTAAAAATTTTGTTTTGAAAAATAAAGAATTTATAAGACAAAAAGTTCAGAATAGTGGTATCCTCTTGGAAGGAGTTAGAAGAAAGAAATGGGAGAAGATCTTCAGGCTGTACTGTATTTTTATGCATTGATTATGTTCCAGTTCTTCAGTTGGTGGTGGGTTCATGATGTTGATTTAATTTTTATGCTTCATAACATATATATCACATATCAGTCTTCTGTGTGCACCAAATATTGCCAAAATAAAACACCTTTCAAAAAAGAAAGAGGGCCCCGAATAACCAAAACAATCTTGAAAAAGAAGAAGCTGGAAGACACATATTTCCTGATTATAAAATTTATTACAAGTCTACAGTAACCAAAATAGTGTAGAACTAGCATAAGGACAGATATATCAACTATGGAATAGAATTGAGAGCCCAGAAAGTAACCCATACATCTGTGGCCAGATGACTTTCTATAAGGATGACAAGACCATTCAATGGGGAAAGAACAATCTCTTCAACAAGTCGTGCTGGGACAAGTAGATTTCCACCCCCCCCAAATTAATTAATTAGGACCCCAACCTCATATCATATGCAAAAATTCACTCAAAATGGATCAACAACCATTTAAATACAAGTGCTAAAACCATAAAACTCTTAGAAGAAAACATAGGAGTACATCTTCATGATCTTGGGTTTGCCAAGGATTCTTAGATATACATCAAAAACTTAAGCAACAAAAGAAAAAATAGATAAACTGGACTTCATCAAAATTAAAAACTCTTGTGCATCAAAGAACATTAACAAGAAAGTAAAAAGACAACCTACAGAATGGTAGAAAATATTTGCAATCATAAATCTGATAAGGATTTAATACCCAGAATATAAAGAACCCTACAATTCAACAACAAAGAGACAACAAGATTTTAAAATGGTCAAAGGACTGAATAGATATTTCTCCAAAGATATGCAAATGGCCAATAAGATAAAAGATGTTCATCATTAGACATTAGGGAAATGCAAATAACACTACTATATATATAAAAGATAACTAATAAGAACCTATTGTATAGCACAGGGAACTCTATTCAGTGCTCTGCAATGACCTATATGGGAATGGAATCTGGCAGAGAGTGGATATATGTATATGGATGGCTGATTCACTTTGCTGTACAGCAGAAACTAACACAATATTGTAAATCAACGACACTCCAATAAAACATTAATTAAAAAAAAAAAAACACAATGAGGGGCTTCCCTGGTGGTGCAGTGGTTAAGAATCCGCCTGCCAATGCAGGGGACACAGGTTTGAGCCCTGATCCGGGAAGATCCCACATGCTGCGGAGCAACTAAGCCAGTGCGCCACAACTACTGAACCTGAGCTCTAGAGCCCATGAGCCACAACTACTGAGCCCAGGTGCTACAACTACTGAAGCCCACACACCTACAGCCCATGCTCCACAACAAGAGGCCACCACAATGAGAAGCCCACGCACCTCAATGAAGAGTAGCCCCCGCTCGCCGCAACTAGAGAAAGCCCGCGCGCAGCAACAAAGACCCAACGCAGCCAAAAATAAAATAAAGTAACTAATTAAGAAAAGAACACACAATGAAATATTGAATACCTTTCATATACACATTAAAAAAAAAAACCCAGAAAATAACAAGTGTTCATGAGAAATTGGTACTCTCTTGCATTGCGGTGGGAACGTAAAATGGTGCAATTTGGCAGTTCTTCGCAAAGCTAAAAAATAGAACTGCCATATGACCCAGACACCCCCACCCCTAGGTATGTAATAAATAACTGAAAACAGAGCTCAAATATATCCTTGTATGCCAATGTTCATTGCAGCAATACTCACAATAGTGGAAAGGTAGAAACAATCCAAGTGTCCATCAACAGATGAATAAATAAACAAAATGTACATATATACAATGGAATATTATTCAGTCATGAAAAGGAATAAAATTCTGATACGTGTGGATGAGCCTTGAAAACATTATGCTAAATGCAATAAGCCAGCCCAAAGGACAAATCTTGCATGACTGTGCTTAAATGACATATCTAGAATAGGCACATTCATAGAGACAGAAAGTAGATTGAGGTTACCAGGGTCTGGGAGGAAAGGGGATGAGAGTTATTCCTTAATGGGTTCAGAGTTTCCGTTTGAGTGATGAAAATGTTTTAGAAATAGATATAGTGGTGATGATTGCACAACACTGTGAATATAATTAATGTCAATGAACTGCATACTTAAAAGTGCTTAAAGTGGCGAATTTCGTCATAAATACACACACACACACAAATCTTCCCTACAAAATCACAGAAAATGTTTTGGAATTAGCTGAAGGATTTCAAAAAAAACTCCACATATTTGCTAACGAGTCAGATGGAGTTAACTGAATTTTCTAATTTTGTACTGAAACAGTGTATCTATAATTACTAATTACATCTAACTACCAAACTATATTTCTTTTCCATTAATTTTCATGGTATGACAGGGTAATAGACGCAGTGATTGTGTCTCTACTGAAAATATCTGTGATCTTTTGATTACAGTGAGATTATTTTACCTCTAGAAGTTACAGATTTAATATTTCAAGGAAAATTGAGTGTTCCTAATGGCAGGAAGAAACTATGGACTTCAGTGTTTGTCAAGCTCAAATATATCTTGATATTTTCTCTGGTTCTGAAGTGTTCTAATATTAACCCAGGTTTATGCTCATCTCTGTGCTATTTCAGTTTATTCAGACTACAAGATTCTGAGCCTTTCACACTCCATTTTTCAAATGCATTTCAGATTTTAGTTGTATTTCCCAATTCTCAAATTAATTTTAAGTTTCAGTTAATAATGAATCATTAATTAGTAAACAGATAATTGTATCAGTATCACTTTAGGTTCTACACTAAAATACTGTGTTGTCTATTTATGTTTTGTGTCCAGTAATACAGGACACACTACAACACTGTCCAATAATTTCAATGCTAGGTGTCATTGTATTTTGTGCCTGGAATAACAGGAAAAAGGCTTTCTGTTGCCTCTTTTTACTGCATCTTTTTTGTATTCAATAAATCCAATTTGGAGAATTAAAAAAGAGAGAATTTTAGCATATATAGCAATAAATTGGGGACAACATTTCATCTGCCCTGCTAATGTGATAATCAGTGGAAAGAAAGCAGAAATATGCATCCCGGAGCTGGCTCCGTCCCTTACCTTGCCATTGAGAACGATGTTCTGACTTCCACACAGTACAGACTGGCGACTAACTTTGTTCCCAGATGCCTGAAAGGAAAGAGCAGAAAACTGAGGTGAGCAAACTGAGTGGGTTCTGGGCTACAGATTTCCATCAAGAAAGCTCATACTGGAGAGAAAAGGACTTGCAATGGGGTGCCGTCTGCAATGGAATGAGTCAGGATATCAAAAAAGCAAGGATGAATTAGGAACTTAGGGATTCAAGGAACAGACCCAGAAATTGGATGTGGTACGTCTATAGCCTCGACTCTCATTTCTATACTTCGGTTTTACAGCCCTAAAAACAGGATAATGACTTTACCAATAGCATAGAGTTGTGAGAATTCAATGAAAAAATAAAGAGTAATGCTGACTGAGCACTACCCTGGTTTCAAGCAATTAACACACATCTACATACAGTTTGTACTGACTATAAAGAACCTAACAAACAAACAAAAAAGAACCTAATAGTCTTTAGCACGTAGTAATAAATTATGACACGTTAGTTTTTAAAAAAAAAAAAATTTTTAAAGGCCTGAAGCCCAGAGCTGTAATTATCAGGATGGATGAGACTTGTCCTGCTTTCTGGAAGGCGTTTTATCTCTACGAGGAAATCAGGAATAAATTTTTAAAAGCCTAAACTGGCCATGCAAGGAATACATAACAAAGCCAGACCATACATGAACTCTCACTGTGTAATTTCGGACTAAACGCCAAAGGGACCTGGGGTGGGGCAGGGACAGGATGGAGACGGCGGCCTCAGGGGACGCACGCTTGGAGAGGGGAGGGCAGATTTCTGGACACGCGCACCGTCTCGATATACTCGGACTTGTTGTAGAGAAGCTCTCCCAACTCCATGGCCACCAACTCCTCTGCGAAGCTCCGACTCCTGTCAAAGTCTGTCCCCCTATCTCTCCGCCTCAGACTCCGGCTACTTCCGGCTGCTCCTCCACTTCCGCTCTGGGCGGTCTGCGGTCTCATCCATAGCTCGGCTCTCCGCTAGGTTGCCTCGCTCCACTGCTCTGCGGTCTCTGGTTGCGCGTGCGCAGGCCGAGTGGCGGATGTAATTGGAAGGGGTGATTGGTGCGCCCAGCCCGCGTGGGCCGGCTGACCGTGGGCTGACTGGATCCCGGGCACCCCGTACCTTCCCCGGGAGCCTCGGGGCCTAGGGCCAGCCGGGCTCCTCGTATCCGCAGGCCCGGGGCCAGCGACAGATGCTCTTTTTGTTGGCCGCCGGCCAGATGGAAGAGCCTCCTGGGAAGCCCCTCAGCTGTGAGGAGAAGGAAAAGGTGCCGGGGATGCGGGAAGGGTTGACTCAGAACTTTGACCCCCTTTCCCAGGATTTGAGGCCTGTCTTTGTTTCCTCCACTATCAGAGGGCGGCAGTGACCTCTCACCCACTTCCCTGGACTGAGGGGGCACACGAAGTGAAAGTGTAGGAGAGCCCTGTGCTCCCGTGGTGGCGTTTGAAGAACGAAGTTTCTTTACAGCAGAAATGCAAAAGTACAAAATGTAAAACTGTAGATAAAGCTAAAGTTCGCTTTGACACCCTCCCCAGCCCACCTTGCACACTCTCAATCTTGGCTTCTCCCACCCCGCCCCCTTAAGTAAATCTCTTAACAATCTGGATTTCAGACCTTTTTGTGCACCTGTATGTGTGTGCGCGCGCGTGCGCGTGTTGAACGGGCGGTGGGGGTGTGGAGGGGTGCAGTTGTGTTCTTTAACCACCAAAAAGTATTACGTTTTTTTGGAAAGGTGAATGTTCGTAAATGGTATGATCCGGATGGTTCTGCAACTTCCGTTTTCCTTCTTCGTGTTTAACATCCACATTAGTCCATGTTTACCTACCTTATTTTCATTTTAATTTTTTTTGCGGTACGCGGGTCTCTCACTGTTGTGGCCCCTCCCTTTGCGGAGCACAGGCTCCGGGCGCGCAGGCCCAGCGGCCATGGCTCACGGGCCCAGCCGCTCCGCGGCATGTGGGATCCTCCTGGACCGGGGCACGAACCCGTGTCCCCTGTATCGGCAGGCGGACTCTCAACCACTGCGCCACCAGGGAAGCCCACCTACCTTATTTTTTTAAAGTTTTTTATAGTATCCTGCAGCGTGGAAGTGCCGCCTTTTCTTTACACATTACTCTGTCGAGAGCCTTTTAGGTTGTTTGCAGCTTTTCTTTCTACAACAGTGCTGCTCTGAATATCCTTATACATGACACCTTGTACGTGGGCCGGCGAATGTTAACTTGAATGCAGCTTGGGCTGGCTCTTCCAAGCATCATACTGAAACTCTTCATTCACAGTAACTCATCAGTCCTCTTATCCCATTCTGCCTTGCAGTGGGGGTGACAGAGGTCATTTACAAGTCAACAAGCTAATTCCCAGACATTGATAATGATGATAAGTAGGAAGCTGTGAGAAGCCGTCTAGGTGTGAATCATGCCGTTTATGAATTGTGTCATCTTGGACAAACTGCTTTCCCTATGATCTTCCCAAAGCTAGCTCTTTCCTCCTTCAGGTCTGGGCTCAAATTGTAGTCCTCAGAAATGCCTTCCTCACACTGTCTCTAAAGTAGTCCATTCTCCTGTAGCCCAGACACTCTCACATCACCCTGTTTGTCTAGGTATTGATTGCCATGTGAAATCATCTCACCTGTTTATTTGTTTCCTTGTTTATTATCTGTACCCCTCACTATATGTAAGCTGCCTGGGAGCAGGGGTCTTGACCACTCTGTATACCTAGCCCCTGGAACTGTAACTGACACACGGTGGGTATCAGTTATTGTTCTAGGTGCTGGAGATACCTGGACCAATGACTGATTCGTTAGTCGAATGACTGTCTGAGGATGACAGCCCCTGCTACCTTCAAGGATCTCACAGTGAGATGGGAGGAAACAGAAGTAAACAGACAATATGTGTAATAAGTACTGTGATAAAGCAAGCACAGAGGAGAGGTGGAATGCCTAACTTGGATTTGGAGAAGGACCTAGAAGTTTACCCCAGGGAAATAAAAATCTAAGCTGAGGCTTGAGGAATCAGTAGGAATTAGCAAAGTGAGTTGGGGAGGAAATGCTCCAGGTGATAGGAACAACTTATGCAGAGATGCTGAGATATTATAGAGCTTGATGTTCTGTGAGAACTGAAAGTAGAATGAGTCAGTGCCGCTTCCTCCACTGCCTCTAGATGAGGGGCCAGCTGGGTGCTGCATGCTAGTGTCTGATAGGCACTGCATCCCTTCTCTCTGATGCCTCCTTTCTACCTGCTCAGTTTTGTTTGGTGTTTTACTTCTTCCAGTTGAAGGAAAAATTAGCATTCTTGAAAAGGGAATACAGCAAGACACTGGCCCGCCTTCAGGTAAGTGAATCTTATTCTCTCAAATTGGTATTGTGGTACAAAGAATATAAAAACAGCTCTTCGTTTAATAAAGCTTTTAACCAAAATTTATTTCTTTTTTGTAAAATTGTTTCGTGAGCTGCTTTTGTTTTCTGTAGCGTGCCCAGAGAGCTGAAAAGTTTAAGAATTCCATTAAGAGAACAGTAGAAGGACAAGATTCCTCGCTCCAGCAGGAAGTTTCAACGCAGCTAACCGACACAGGTAAAGCGAGCCCATTCACTTATACTTGCTTTATTATTCATTTCCCAGGTAAATTTGGCTGTGGTTCTTTTTCTCACAGTCAGAAGATAAGCAGTAGCAGTAGAGTCTTTAAAGTGTACAATTCAGTGGTTCTTTGTATATTCAAAAAATTATATAATCTAGTCACTATCTAATTACAGAACATTTTCACCACCCCTAAAAGAAACGCTGTGCCCATCCTACCCTTAACCCCTGGGCAACTATTAACCTACTTTTTGTCCCTGTGGATTTTCCTATCCTGGGCATTGTGTATAAATGGAACCATACAATATGTGGCCTTTTGTGACTATCTTTCACTTAGCATAAAGTTTTCAACTGTCATCCATCCATCTATACATTCATCTAAGCATGCATCAGTACTCCATTCCTTTTTGCAGCTGAATAATATTCCATTATATAGATGTACCATAATTTGTATATCCATTTGTCAGTTAACGGACATTTGGGTTGTTGCTACTTTTTGGCTGTTATGAATTTTGGCCATTATGCTGCTGTGAACATTCATGTACAAGTGTTTATGTGGACATATATTTTCAGTTCCTTCAGGTATGTACCTAGGTGTAGAATTTCTAGGTCATACGATAATTCTATGTTTAACTTTTTTGAGGAACTGCCAAACTGTTTTCTACAGTGGCTGTACCATTTTACATTCCCACTGCAATGCACAAGGGGTCCAGTCTCTCCACATCCTTGCTAATAATTGTAATTTTCTATTTTTAAAATTATAACCATTCTGGTAGATATGAAGTGGTATCTAATTGTGGTTTTGATTTGCATTTCCTAGTGACTAATGATGTTGAACATCTTTTTGTGTGCTTGTTGACCATTTGTATATCTTCTTCAGAGAAATATCTCTTCAAGTCCTTGCCGATATTTTAATTAGGTATTTGTCTTTTTATTGGTGAGTTGTAAGGGTTCTTCATATATTCTAGCTATTAGACCCTTATCAGATACATGATTTGTAAATATTTTCTCCCATTCTGTGAGCAATAAACTGTATTTCAGTTGGATTGCATATTTAGTTGCTCTTTTTCTCTCTTAACTTTTAGCAATTATATTTATTGCTTAAATATTGGAAAGATGACTTTTTTTTTTTTTCTTTTTTTTGCGGTATGCGGGCCTCTCACTGCTGTGGCCTCTCCCATTGTGGAGCACAGGCTCCGGACGCGCAGGCTCAGCAGCCATGGCCCACGGGCCCAGCCGCTCCGTGGCATGTGGGATCTTCCCAGACCGGGGCACGAACCCGTGTCCCCTGCATCGGCAGGTGGACTCTCAACCACTGCGCCACCAGGGAAGCCCGGAAAGATGATTTTTTAAAATTATATATGCACAAAGAAAAAAGTCTGGCTGGGAACATTTTAATAAAAAACAATAATCATTTCTTATGTTAGAAGTCAGGTAATTTATAATCATAAAATTGGAGGCTAATGAAGTAGAAAAGTGGTATGAGGGACTTCTCTGGTGGTCTAGTGGTTAAGACTCCTAGCTTCCAATGCAGGGGGCACGGGTTCAATCCCCGGTCAGGGAACTGAGATACCAGATGCCGTGCAGTGCGGCAAAAAAAAAAGAAAAGAAAAGTGATATGAAAATTACTTCAGCCAAAAAAAGACATGGGGCTTCCCTGGTGGCTCAGCGGTTGAGAGTCCGCCCGCCGATGCAGGGGACACAGGTTTGTGTCCCGGTTCAGGAAGATCCCACATGCCGCAGAGAGGCTGGGCCCGTGAGCCATGGCCTGCGCGTCCGGAGCCTGTGCTCTGCAATGGGAGAGGCCACAACAGTGAGAGGCCCACATACCAAAAAAAAAAGAAGTAAAAAATTAGGTGAGATATGGGGGAAATGGGGAGATGTAGGTCGAAGGGTACAGAGTTGCAGTTATGCAGAATAAATAAGTTCTGGAGATCTAACATACAGCATGGTGACAATAGTGAATAATACTGTATTGTAGGTACTCCCCTGGCAGTCCAGTGGTTAATACACCATGCTTCCACTGCAGCAGGTACAGGTTTGATCACTGGTCTGGTAACTAGGATGCTGCGTGCTGCGCAGCCCAAAAAAAAAGAAAAAAGGAATAATACTGTATTGTATACTTGAAATTTGCTAAGAGAGCTGACCTTAAGTGTTCTCATGACACACAAAAAATTGTAACTATATGAAATGATGGATATGTTAGCTTGATGGTAGCAACATTTCACAATATATACATATACCAAAACATCACATTAAATATGTACAATATTTATTTGTCAGTTGTACTTCAATGAAGCTGGAAGACAAAACTAAGAGAAAAGATGATTGCAATAAAGAATAGATAATCTTTTCGGGCTTCCC